TTAAACTTATAAATCTTTCAATACATACCTACAGTTGAGAATCCCAACTGCCTGCATACAACAGTTGCTACATTAGTGCAAAATCCATCATCAGCGCAGACGGTGGTCCAAGCGCCGTTAAGATAAATCTCAAGTCGGCCCACAGGACCACCAGTGTTAGTTCCATTGACCAGTCTTACATCTCCACTACCTAAAAAAAGCTATAAACTAGCTGTATTACATTGCATGAAACGTACTTTGTGACTGAGCATAGGCAAAAAGAGCACAAAGAACCAAAAAACAAACCGTCTTCATTCTTTTCTTCTAGAAATTTAAGGGGAAAAGAAGATTGGAACGTGGGCGTTAATAAGCGCAATCAATAAAGCTCAGCAGAGCTCGTTTTACCTGAAAGAGAAGGAAGATAGTGGCTTTCTTGGAAGGTCAGCTAAAAAAGACGCAGCAAAACTGGGAGGTCTAGCGGGTCTTATGACTAACACAAGGGCGAGGCTGGTCATGAGAGATGCCATGATTATGCTTTAACAATGTCGCCAGCAGAGCAGAGATTATTCACGGGTCAGAAATAGGAACTTGTGGGCTATAGATCACACAATAAATATGATCAGAAATTAATTTATCACACAATATTGCAACACAAACAACATGGCTAAAGAAATTGGCAGATTTGCAGCATCAGGTTTAACTACTAACGTTATTCTTGCATGCACATAACGACATGGATTAAATAAAAAAAATTACTAGAGATATAGTAAGAGAGGTTATAGATGAGAGAGAGAGAGAGGGAGAGATGATTTCATCAAAATAACCACTCAAATACACTACATACAAGTCTCAACGTGTCTGCTTTATCTTTAATCTCTTCTTCTCTTCCAACCAGTCACTCAACTGCTGGAGTCTCTCCTCACACTTTTCCTCCTTCTCCTTCACATATCTGTCTCGTATAACCTTAAAAGCTTGAGCAGTTGAATAAGGAAACTTTGTCAAAGGGTCTATATACTTAGCCGGTAGGCCAGTTACCTTGCAGTACAAAGACTTGGGTTTTGTTGGTTTTTCAGTTGGAAATATCGAGGTAGGTATTGTACTTGTGTCCGTAAATACAAGAAAGTTGCGCGAATATTTCTCGGTTGTTAAACCTCCGTCTCTCTCAAAGGCAGGCATAGTGACAGAGTGATAGCGAATTGCCGGACCACTGATAGTGTGATCTTTGATTTTGTACGTCTTCTTTTGTGCTTCCATGCGAGCATAAGCCTCGAGGGAAGCAAGGTTCTCTACTTCTGTCTTCTTTGCTTCTTCCAACAGCTGCTCTTGTGTAAGTACAGGTGCCTTTTTGGAGGATTTACGACTATATTTACGCTTCATTTTTAATTCTTCTGTCCTGAGTCTTTCCCTCTCTAGCGTCAACTGGCCCAAGTCTATTGTTGACTTGCGGAGGTTTCTCGGCTCGTGGGGTTGGTCTGCTTGTGGAACCTCCTTT